GACCCCGACATCGAGGGATAAAATCTTTAATTCAGAAATAAGCAAAGTTTTGCACGCGCCTATGCACAGCAATGGTGAAAATAATACCCCCACAAAATTACAAAAAAATCAAATTTTTAATTTAAAAAATATAAGATCATTTTTTGTAAACGAAAATAATCTAAAAAAAAATACAATCCAATTTTTGTACATAAAATGTCATAGTAAAGAAGAGCTTAGTATATAGATATGTAATTAATATGTTAACTTGGGTTAAAAACATTAAATGTAATAAGTTTTTAAATGAAGTCCGCAATAATTGCTCTCGACTCGTTTGACTCGCTTTTCTTTGGAATAGAGATGGCAGATGGAGATTATAGATAGCAACTACAACTGAAACTGAAGTCGCATTTGAATTCGCATCTACTTCTACTTCCCTCCTCCTCGCTTCCCTTTCTCATCGGCATACTCTTTTGATGAGTCGTCATGGAAACTGGCACCGAAAAGTATGCAGCACTCTGTGCGTCTGCGAGCAAGAGAGAGAGGGCGAGAGCTGCCACTGCGTGTGCGCAAGCGAGTCGGCAAGCAAGCTCTGCTACGCCATAACTGTGCGCTAAGGCGATAACGTCAGCTGCTATCTCGCTCATGCTTAGCTATTTAAAAATATTTATGCATGTCGGTGTGTGGGTGTGAGGTAAAGGTGAGTAAGAACAAGAACACCGACGTCGACTTTGACGTGGCGCTCTGCTCTCTTTACTGTTGTTGTGGCTGCTATTGTTGTTGTTGTAGGTATTGCTGCTGCTGCACAAGAAGTTATTCCAACGGAGTAACGGTCAATTACGAAACAAAAGAGGGAGCAAGGGGGAGAGGGAGAACGGGCAAAAGAGAGAGAGGAAGCTCCAAATCATATGCTCGCTCAGCTGTGTTGTGTCAGTTCTGCCGGCGTCGCCGTTGGTTAGTCAGTCATCATCAGTGCTTTTTAGAGCTACGTAGAGAACAGACGGCCTTCCCAAAACATACACACAAACCAGCAAACACACACAGGCACACACTTCCACACACAGGCGGCAGAAGACAAAAACAAAGAGCAACAGAGGCGGCAGCAACAACAAGGTGACGATTCAAAAGCAGCGAATTTTGAGCGCCAAAAAAAAGAAAGCAACATAGAGCAATACTTTTTTTCTCAGTGCTTAAGTGTTTATAATTATAGCTCTACGGTACATACACGTGTGTGCGTGTGCAAGCGTGTAATCAAATACAAATCAGTAAAATAACAAAAATCTTGACGTAATCGCTAAAATGCAAAGCAAACGACACGAAAACGGGCAACAATAACAAAGCGATTTGAATTCCTTTTAGTTTTTGTGTGTTTTTGGTTTTTAATTTGCAGCTAACATCGGACAAAAAGAGACGGAGCGAAAACACACTCGCGTGTTGTGTTGTAGTAGTTTTTTTTTGTCGTGTAGTGCCCGTGTTTGCCGTTATGCAAAGAATTCATTGTTATTAGTCAGCAAACGTCAACAGTCAGCAACAACAATAAAAGCCACATCCAAAGCGGGTAAGCGATAAACACAAACACAGGCGAACTTCCCTAGCACGTATTTTCCATAACTCAGAACTGCCTTTTTCACACTATTTTGTATACATATATAAAAAAGCCCAACGTCCATAACTTGAATTTCTCTTTAACTCGAACTTTGTTGCTAGAAAAAAATGGTATTAAAGGGCCGTATGTTCATATTTTGTACAAATCTCAACAAATAATTTAAAACTTTTTTGTTGGCATATGGTGGTTTTAGTAATGGAAGTTCCACTGTATGCTAAAGGAATGCGAAAGTGAGAAAGAGAGTGCGATAGAGTGGGGGTGGGAGTGCGAGTGTGCATATGCGTGTGCCTAAGTGCAACAACAAACTTTTTCGAGTTTGGATCCTCAATGGCAGAAAGAGGGAGAGGAAGATTGTGTATGGAGTGGATGCGGGATAACAGCAAAGAGTAATGCAAAAGGGGCAAAATTATGCTTATCAATGAATTATTATCGAAGAGTGGGGTACGATGGGGCCGATAGAGCAATGTCGCACACAAAAAAGAATCTGAAATTACAATTTGATGATTTTATATATTATTTTAATGTCCGCAATGTCAATTCAATATTTTTAAATCTTTAAATTCGATTATTAAAAAAACCATCAAAATTAATATAAGTTAGGTTACTAAATAAATAACAAATTTAGAATATATGTATATTTTAAAAAATGTTTAATTATTTGTTTAACATCCATCTTCGATTTTTTTTCGAGCTGTCTTTTTTTTCTGTGCAACCTTATTGCCTTGACAGTGCGATACAAAATCGTTTAGATTCGACGCAGTCGTAAATTACCGCTGACTAATGTGGGGGAATTCACTCGAAAAGTGAAGAGTGGAAAACGCGGAACGCAGCTCCACTGCTAAACAGCCCCTTTTCACGAATTCTCGCTAATCTTGCACATTTAAAGAGCTCAACTGGTTGGTCCCGTCGTGCATAATTATCCAGCAACTACGCGGACCTGATAACACAAGCTCCCCATTCAGCTGATAACACACACCGAAAGAAAAATTTGCTAGTGCCTAGAATTTCCAACAAAATGTGTCTTTAACAGGCATTGTTAATATTATTAATTTTGTATGCCAATAACAATCCTATTGCTATATTATTAAGTTCTCCTTAAGATGACACACTTACATATGTATTCCCTCAAGTAGGGTCCCATGCTAATCCTGGCGTAGTGCCATGTGCAGTACCTCCTCACCCACCATTCTCTGTCTTTATCTTTCTTTGCCGCTCAAGCGGCCGACACCTGTCGCCAATGGCTTTGTCTCGCTTCCACTTCCACTCTCTCCCGCTTTCTTCTGCCTGTTTCTTCTTCTTGTTCTTGACTTGTTCATGACAAGTAGTAACTGTTGTGGATTTTTTTTGTTTTTGCACATTCATTTAGTTTTTAATTAATTCAGCCAAGCAAATAGCGTTGGAAAGAAAGGGGTAGTGGTGCCGAGGGGCAGGGGTGATGGGGGCCGGCAGAGATTCACTAAAACGCTCGCAGAAGGCAAACCAGCACAAATACAAACACCAACGCAGTGAAAACGAGTAAAAATAAATAATGCTGACGTCAATTTTGCGTACGCCAATACACAGTGCAAAAAAAAGGGGGTCGAAATGGGTGCAAGGGGGTGCGGCTAGAGCAAATCGAAAGCCAAAAGCAAAATGTAAAATGCAAACTGATTGGAATTGATTGAAATGCAACAGCAACAACTTTGAGCTTTTTGCTAATGTCAAAAAGCAAAAACTAAAAGAAACAACAAAGTATCGAAGCTAAAGTACTCTTGCCCAAAATTTGAGTAAAGGTTTTTAGAAGTTGTTAAAGTGTTTTAACGCTCCAAATATCCAACATTTCATTCCCATATAAAAACCAACATTGCGAATGAGTAATATTTTTCTTTATTGCGTATACACTTATACAGAGAAATTTTTTTTTGTGAAATTTGGAAGTTATATAGCAGTTGTTCTTTGTTTAATATCGTCTACTGAAAATAATTTCTGCTTATCAACTGATTGACATTGATATTCATTAAAAAACATTTTTTTAACAATTGTTTATTTCAGTCATGTTTAAAATGATATTTTTTATTCTGTTTTATTAGGGTTATTGTTCTAAAGTGACTGCTGGTAAAACAATTTCTGATCGACATGAAATTTTGATTTGAACATTTTTTTTAAAGTAAACGTAACCCTTGAAATAGTGTTTGCTATATGTAAACGATGTAAATCGAGTCTAGTTGATATAACATTTTTAATTGTTTGTAACCGCCTCAGTTCCGAGTTACAAAAGATTTTTCTTTTTTTCTGTGTAGGGATGATATGGCACCCAAGGCACCCAAGTTCACGAAACGCATATTTCGACCAATTTTATGGTCAGGCTATTGCGCTGACCGCAGGTGTAAGAAGCATATAGTATAGCGTACAAGAGCGGTATTTACAGTTCCTCTTGCGGGGACTGGGCAAACTTCATTAGCCAGTGATGTCAGCCGGTGTAAAGGTAATACGGACTACATATGAATGTATGTGTGTTTTGGGCAGTGAGTCAGTCGATGGGGTCGTTCAGACAGTCCGGCGTTTTGAGGCATTCAGCCGCAAGAGTGGGCGGTGGGCGATGGGTGGTGGGCGGTACAGGGTTCGTGCGGCGTCGTAATTAATGGCAATTATTATGTCACTCAAAGGGAAGTCGATTGAAAAAGCAGCCTAAATAATGCAAATGGAATTGGAAATTACATTTCAGAACAAAAAAAAAACACAAGGAAACAGTCATTCTCCCACCATTGCGCTAATTAACTATTAATTCAAAGCTGTTGCAGGCTTCAAATAATCCTAAGTCTATTTTCTTAACTCGTTTACGTTTCGAACTTTTGCCGCAGTGACGTCATGGCCAGCGCAAAAAGCCGATAATTATTGGGCTGCAAAGTAATTAGCCGAGAATATCATTTGTGGTAATTGTTTTTTGCACTTTTGCGCATACACTGTTTTTGACGGGCTGGAAAAAAGGCTAGACAAACAACAAAATAAAACAACTGCCTTTGCATTAGCAATTTCAAAAAGTTTTTAGTCACGCTAAAGCCTCCATAGAAAATCATAAAAAAATGTTTTTTTTTCCTATCTCTTATGTTAAATCAATTAAATGACAACTACAACTATAATTGCTTAGAAGTGAAACTTTCAAGTTCATTGAAAATAAATTTGGTTTGGATTGAAAAATTATAAAAAAAAGTTTAGTAGAGAATGTATTAAGTCGTTTCCCATAGTTATTTATTGATATTTCAATCATAATATTAATGAAAGGTCAAATATTTATTTATATAGAATTTTTAATATTTTTTAAATTTTCCCGCTGGTGCAATCCAAGTTCTGCACCCATTTCCATCCAAGTCAACCCCCATTTTGGTATTTTCGACTCTAGGCCCATCTGGTAATTTGGCACCCTGCAGGAACGGTCACATCTTTTTAGCGAGCGAGCGAGCCAGCAATAAGCAAACGATTTTTGCGCAAAAACGGAGTTTATCAATAAATCGTTGCGTGCGATTGCGTTGGCCGTAGAAAACGCGTTTGTCTCCGCACAGAACCCACAAATCCGCGGCTATTACTGCCCAAAAAATCGCGTTTCCGTGCTGCAAAAAGAAAAAGAACGTAAGCAACGATAACAACAGGCAGCGAGCGAGTGAGAGAGAGAGAGTGAGCAGTGCGGAGTGTTGTGTGTGTGCGTGCTGCCAACTTGTCGCACCAATTCGCTGCTGTGTAGTGTGTGTGTGTGTGGTTCTCCCAATAAAAAAAAAAATTTTAAACCTTTGCACAATGCTATACGAATCCTATCTGGAGTTCTAGGGCTACAGCACCGATTTTTTGCTCAGCTATATAAATATATTTCTGTCTATTGGGACTTTTCAACAAGTTGCCAGCGCAGCGTGCAACGCGCGCACACACACACACACTAACACACGCGCGCGCTAAAACACACGCAAGAGAGAGTGAGAGCGAGCAACAACAACAACAAAAGCCTCTCAGTAGCAACGTTTTTAGTGATGTCATCAGAAAGTAAGTTGATTTTTTCACTGTGTGTTTTTCTTTTTGTTGCTGTGTTTTTTTTTCTTTTTTTTTTTTGCCTCTTTGCACACACACGCACACACACACACAAAGACACAGTGTTGTCATGACGTCATTCCACCGAAATACACACGGTGCGGCGGTGTTGTTATTGTTTTTGTTGTTTGTTGGGGGACTGAGTTCCATCAGTCAGCAATCGGCAGCACAATATAATCATCGTCATCACAGCGCACTCGTCATCGGGGCCCCAAAACAAACGAGCCAATCCCGCCCAGAAACCAAATTAGAACCAGAAACTGAATCAGATTCAGAATTAGAATTCGAAAAACCCGAAACCACAGAAATACCAAAATAAACTGAAAAAACTGAAATCCGTGCTATCATCCTTGACAACAAATCCTGAAATTCCATTGTAGAAACGTCTTCAAGCTGGCCAAATTGAAGCGGAAACGGTAGCCAAACTGAAGCACTTGTCGGAGAGCGTCTCGGTGCTGCTGAAGATCGCCAGGATCGCCAACATGGACAACAGCATCGTCGAGGAGAACGGCAACTCGTCGGCGGCATCGGGCTCCAATGACGTGGTCGACGTCGTTGCCCAACAGGCGGCAGCGGGCGGAGGAGGAGTTGGTGTAGGAGTAGGAGGAGGAGGAGGAGGAGGTGGTAACCCCCAGCAGCAGCAGCAGCAGCAGCAAAACCCACAGAGTACAACCGCCGGCGGTCCAACGGGGGCGACGAACAATGCCCAGGGAGGAGGAGGAGGAGGAGCGGCCACCGTGCTGACCACCGCCGCCAACTGCAACCTTCAATACCCCATCCAGACGCTGGCGCAGCACGGACTGCAGGTGAGTTTGGGGGTCAGGTGACTGGCATCCCGTAGCAGAAGTAGCTTCATTTTTGGAAACTAACAAGGATTCCCGTGCATAAGCTCGCCGAATCTAATTAGAAAAAGAAAACACGTTTAAATCAAGCAATTTCCAAGAATTTGCCAATTGGATCCGCTTTTAAAGGGGTACCTCTATGGAATTCATGAAACTGCCAGAAATCTGGGACAGGGAATAGGAATAGCATTGTGTTGGATATCCTAAGAATCGGACAATTAAATCTGCTTTACAAAGGGAACATTCGTTCAAATCAAGCTATTTCCAAGGATGTATTTCTTTTGTCAATTGGATCCGCTTAATGTTTGATTATATTAGTCTTTGGAAAAAAATACTTCACAATTATTTTGTTTTTATACGCACGTTCTTCCTTGACATCCAAAACTTAATTTCCTCTTGCCTTTTTGTTTATTTGTTTTTAAAACAAACTGAATCATTATTGATTTGAATTTAAATTAAATAACATCTGCATCGTTTTAATAAAACAAAGTCGAAAATGAGATTTAAAAGTAGTTTTATAGACTATAAAACTGTATTGAAATTTTAAGGCATTTTTGGAATGTAACAGAGTTTTCCTTTTCGAATTCAAACCCTCTCCATTAAATTATTATAGTTAGAGCTTAGAAGCACCAGACAGAAATTAATTAAAGCTTGTAAATTATCTGTTTCGGGCTTGAATACTTTTAGTCCAGTTTGAGCCCATGTACCAGACCTATTATAATGTTGAAATTCTCGTTTCCCCGCAGGTGCAATCCGTGATACAGGCCAATCCCTCGGGGGTCATACAGACAGCAGCTGGAACCCAGCAGCAGCAACAGCAACAGGCGCTGGCCGCCGCCACAGCGATGCACAAGGTCGTCTACGTGGCCAAGCCGCCCAACTCGACGGTTATCCACACGACACCCGGCAATGCAGTGCAAGTGCGTAACAAAGTGCGTAGCTCGAGGAGCACCCATCGAGCAGAACTGTATTAATGATTGTCTCGATTACCTTCAAAACAGATCCCTCCAACCTTTCCGTGTAAGATCAAACCCGAACCGACCACGCAGCATCCGGAGGACAGCGACGAGAGTCTGTCGGACGACGATTCCCAGCACCACCGCAGCGAACTGACGCGACGGCCGTCGTACAATAAGATCTTCACCGAGATCAGCGGACCCGACATAAGCGGTAAATCCGGGGGACAACCTCTCCACCTCTAAGTCACTCGAACCCACTCGAACCCATCTCTGTCGCTCTTCAAAAAAAAAAAAAAAAAAAACACTATATCGCCTAACAACCCAATGCATCGCCGAGCTGATCGTTCCTCATCGTTCATTCCCAAGATGCACTTGCGCCTGGCGTTCGTTCGATCACCCCAGTGGTTTTGGATGATGATCGGCCAGTCCATCAGAACCCATTCATTTCCCCAGTGTTTGTAACCCCATTTTCACATTTCACCCGACACATTTTGTACAGTTGCTGTTGGCTAAGTAACACTGTAAACACCAGTTGTAGTGCGCTTAAGCAAAAGATCCATTTAAAAGTCATTAGCTCAAAGGGATTGATACACTCTCCATAACTTTATAATCCTTTCTTATGTGCCTTTCAAGGCAGATACCAAGTAATTGCAATCTAGTTATAGTCGAAATTTGTCAGCTTAAACAAATTTGCCGTAATAGTGTTTTATATTGATAAATTAAATTTTGCAAACGCAATAATTTAGAGATTATAATCACTTCTTCTCATTTCAAACAGAAAATTTTTTTTTTTATTCAGCTTAAAAAATATAGAATCTGGTGACATACCTTTTTTGAATGATGTTTTTAAGCCATCTAGAATAAAACCTGATAAATAGATTTTTTTTTAAAGTCACCATTAAAAAAGATTTAAAGAAATAATTTTTGAAACATCAAAAAAAAAAAAAATAGAATAGATCTTGAAGATAAAGGAATCTATCGTTTATCTTTTTGGATCTGTAGTTGTATATAGGTATAACAAATAGATTGTGAAGAACTTCCCCATTTCCTTTTCACACCAGCCAAAGTACTATTAGAAGTCGTACAAATGTAAGCCCCGCCCCTTTTTCGCCGCCCCCTCATTCTCATTTGGTTGATGTTGTTGTTGATGTTGCTTAAACGAAGAGAAAATAATGAAAATGGACCTAAAAATGGGCAAAAAAACTAAAGAAAATGACGCGTTGTAGAGATTCCCAGATTTTTCAATCCCTGTAAATAATAAAACTTCACACACACAAAAGCACCCTTTCACCAACTCACACACCCACACACAGGGAGAAGACAGCAACAATAATCAATGGAAAAAGCTATATTTACTGTAATTTAGCCATTAAAATTGTATTATTGTTGCCGTCTCCTCCGCCTCTTTCTCTATATTCTTCGCCCCCGCCCACTCTCTCTTTCGCTATCTTTGCCCCCCTTTTTTTCGCTCTCTGTCGTTGTTGTTGCTGTAATCGCTGTTGTTGTTGTTGTTGCTGTTGTTGTTACACACACAACCCATCATGCAAAAAGAATTTAATAATAAATCAAAAGTACAACCAACCTCTCTCACCTAACAGTATTTTAACCGTTAACAAAAAGCTACTCTCTCCACTCTCTTTGACTAACCTATACTTTACCTATCTCGCTCGCTCGATCGCCGCTCTCGCTCGCACTCACCCACTCAAGTTCATAAACCAAACCAAATCAATTCAAATCCGTTCGATTACTCAAATCTTTCGATTGAAAACTGGACAATGGAAAATATGTTTTTCTTATAATTTGTATTGTTGTTTTTTTTTTCATTGTTTTCTTTTCGAACGCCTTCCTCCACCCAACCCAAAAACAAATATCAAAATTAATTATGTCCTGAACAACAACCGCAACAACAACAAAAACAACAACTCAACAACAATCGACAACCAAATCCCCGATCCGAATTCGAATCGGAATCGCAATCAAAATCGAATCGAATCGAACCCGGTCCCAGGCGCATCGCTTCCCTTGTCCGACGGCGTGCTCAATTCCCAGCTGGCGGGGAGTGGAGCGGGGGGCAATGCGGCGAACAACTCCCTGATGCAGTTGGATCCCACGTACTACCTGACCAATCGGATGTCCTACAACACCAGTAATATAGCCTCGGTCCAAATTGATTTGTAGATAGGCTTTAAACTCTGCAAAGCAAGACTAAACGGAACCTTTGTAAATCGAACTGTGGACTACACAGAATGTTTTAGTTGTCAATTGGTTAAATCCTGCTGTTGGTGAAATCCTGCTTTCCAAGATTTTGTTATCGATTATTAGTCATCGATACCGTTTGTATTATTTATTGCGTATTAACCCAAGTCAATTTTAATTGAAAAATTAATTAATTCTTTGTTCTTATATACAAATTAGCCATGGATGATTTTTTTAAGTTATAAGCACTTAAACCTCTCCATATTCATTATAATTGATTTCATATCGATAATACTTTGATTATTTATTGTTTATCAAAAAGACAATCAACTTGAACATCATGTATACTTTCTCTGTCCATTGAATTGAACAAATTTTTTGTTTATTTATATCTTGTTTTAAAAATTAGCCAAACACAAATTTTCGAAAATTATAAAGAAAAATTAATCGATATAAAGTTTTTCTTAAAAGTTTTAAAATGTTTATATTATATTAATTATGTAAATCGAAGATTATTTTCTCATTGTTTCATTTTTTCCAATATAATGATTTTAAAATCTCATTTATTTTGTGATCACTAAATAATAGGTTAAAAAGAAAATAATTCCTATCGAAAAGAGAGAATTAAATTCAGTTCGAGTTACAGATGGTTCCACTGGGGATAGTTAGCGATCTGAGACTGTCTTGCTAATGACATTCTCTTGCTCACTTGGTTTTTGCAGACAACAGCGGGATAGCGGAGGATCAGACCCGTAAACGCGAAATCCGGCTGCAGAAGAACAGAGAGGCGGCGCGGGAGTGCCGGCGCAAGAAAAAGGAGTACATCAAGTGCCTGGAGAATCGAGTGGCGGTGCTAGAGAACCAAAACAAAGCGCTAATCGAGGAGCTCAAGTCGCTCAAGGAGCTCTATTGTCAAACCAAGAACGATTGAATGTGGGCGGGGCTCTGGCGCCGCCTGCGCCTCCGCCTCCAGTTACGGTTACGGTTACGGCTGCGTTGCGGTTCCGTTCTGGATCTGGATCTGGACAACGCCCGACAGCAGCGATGGATCGATCCTCCCCGTTGGCCGGCCGCATATCATGATTTATATACGTATAGTATGCTATATGTGGTAGCGTGTACATTAAATGTATGAAATGTATACTATATACTTTATACTTTATACTATATATTGTATATTGTATATTGGATGTGAGGGATCGTGTTGTCGTTAGGACACAGACGGACGGACGGACGGACAGATAAACCTGCTGCCGGAGCAGAACACACAATGTAATTATGTTTATAATTTAAAGATGTAATATTATGTTTATGATTTAGTTTATGCCTTAGTTTATTTGCTAATTTAACGATACTGAAGTTTACCTACGAACATGATGTGTTTCTGTATCCTAAGGCTTTTAGCCCTTCGGATTCTATACTTCCCTATACCTATACCTATACCTCTACCTACCCTACCCTCCTTTTGTAATTAAAACTTTTTTTGTTTTAACTAATTCGTAATTATTGCAGAACGGACGTGCGTTGTCTAGCGAAAGTGTTTTTTTCTTAGCGAATTGTTGTAAGCCAATATGTCAGGATATAGTCAACCAACCCAACCAACCCAACAAACCCAACCCATTAAATCAACCCCTCCCCCAACGGATATGCAGATAGGAAAGATATATAGTTAGGAAAGAGCGAAGGCGGCTGGCTGACCTAGGAAAATGGTTTTCTGAGCCTCCCAAATTAAAATTGTTCAAAAATCGCAAGATTCACTTGGTTTATGTATGCTTGAATGTACGTGTGTGCCGCCCAAATGTAACTGTAAAACTAGGTTTTAATCGCACAATCCATATGGGATTTGAACATGGAATTATAAACTATTCGAAACACTTTGTTGCATATTTTTAAACGAATCGAAAGCGAAAGCGATAGCTCCCCACTCTGTACGGTTTATATGTAATTCTATATACTATATGCGTAGTTAGCGAACACATTTTGTATTTCGAGGATCTTGTTTTGGAATCGGAGAGAGAGATATATATAGGGTCGAATCATCGAAGATGTAGGACTTTTGGCCGGAACACACGTATATCCACTGTATATGTATATGTATATGTATATGCATTATAAATATATAAAGCAAACACTCTTGTTATCTCTTGTGATCAACTCAGTTGTTGTTATGAATGATATAGAAAACAGACGAAACATACGATAAATTATTGATGAATTCGGGATCGGAATCGAAAACGAAAACGGGGAGACAGAGACAGAGAACGAACTTTTTTATCTAGCGTAGCGCAACGGAAACAATGTCAAAATGAAAACCGGAAACGGAAATAAAACCATAAGAAAACATGTATATCTCTCTATTTTTGATGTCCGAATCGAAACTTCTGAAAAGAGGAAATAACATAAAAAAAAAAAAACAGAGAAGCAGAAAAAAGGGAACGCGAATTCAAAGAGCAGCTTTTTTTGGCCAAGTCAGAGGAGGGGAACGCAAGCAAAAAACAAAAACGGAAATAAAACAAACAAAAGTTGCATTCAACAAAGTAAATAAATATTTTTATTGTCATTGCATAATTCTTAAGCTAGTAATTTTAATATCTAAATCGTAAGCGCGGAAAAACAAAGTAAATGTAAACAAATGAATAAGCCACAGCCCGAAAAAAGGAATTCATAAATCGAGAACAGAAACAGAAACTAAAACAAAGGTAAAAACAAAAAACAAACTGAAACGGAAACGGAAAGTAAAAAAGCAAGAGAAACGCAAAACAAAAATCTGTAGAAATTACAATATTGTTATAAATATTTGTCTCAATGAGAAAACAAACAAAAACAACCAACAAACAAAAGCAAAACAAACCAACAACAAAGAAAATATACATTAAAAAAAAAAAATCAATAAAAACTATTTGAAAAATAAAAGTGCGTTTTGTATTCAAGGGTTACTTATTTTAAAAATATTGAAATATTTAATTTAAATACAACTTGTTATGTTTTTTGAAGAAATTTTCGTTTATTGAAACTTAATATCACGATTGTTCCTAATGGGTTTGTAACGTATTTTTTTTTTAACAAAAAAAATAATACAGATGTACAGCCAAGGATTTTATTTTAATTGTTAAAAACTAAAGCTTTTAAAAAACTATTATATAAAGAAATTGCATTTTTATATCTGAAAAATATTTAGATTGTTAACTTATACAGTGAGTTGTACGGAATAGTCGTTTTATTTTCACTTGTTTATAAATTAAATAATAGCTAGTAATTATTGATTAGATTTCATATATGTATATGAGTAATCAAAACTATGCCATATGAGTATTGTATTTATTTTTCCTGCCTGATTCTACTCTATTTCATGGCCATGTTTTCTATCTATCTCACTCGAAATCATGAGCATTTCACTTTATCCTGGGTCCCAAATTGAAGTTGCGCCAGTGCATCCGTTTCACAGAATGATTTAATATTAAGTACAATACTTCACCCTGCACACACACACACACACACACACACACACACACACATACAAAAACTACGAGATACGAAGAGATACAAAAGTACAAAAATGGATGCGTTTAAGATTAGAGATGATTACAAATATATATGTATGTAAATACGTGTGGATCAGTCATGGCGAGCATATCTGTTCTACGAGAGGAACAGATAGAGCACGAAGGTGGCCACGCCGATGTAGTGGCTCAGATAGCCCGCCTGTCGCCAGTGCCAGAGGAAGTTGTCCGCCTCGTCGCCGAACTTGAGGGCATCGCCCACCAGGACCACGCCCAGATAGGCCAGGTGGAAGATGGTCAGCGCCGTGAGGGCCAGATTGGTCATGCCCACCAGCCAGCTGGAGATGGACTTCCAGCCCCGCTTGCTGGGGCAGTGGCCATAGCGACACCGCTGCCTTCCCGGGCAGTGATTCGCCGAGATGCAGGCATCCAGGGCGCTGGCGAGGTGCCGTCGCAGCAGTGTTTCGCCCTCGGCGAAGACGGCCAGCGAGATGAGCACCAGATAGATGCGCAGATCCATGCCGTGCAGCAGGCTGGACACCAGGTAGGTGCGTGCCCTGGAACTGATGCCGGCGTCCATCTTGCTGGGAGCGTAGATGTACCGCTTGAGCCACTCGTGCATGGGAATGTTCCAACTCCTGACCAGCGAACTGATCGACCTGGGCCACTCGATCCGCCAGGGTTGCGTCACGAGCGGACCAAGCAGATCCGACTCCTTGCTGCTGGCTCCGATCCCATCCAATCCCTGGTCCGAGGCCACCAGCAGCGCCTGCGCCATGATGCTCACAAAGTAGTGGCTGCTGCGCACGCTCAACGCATCCCAGTACATGACCAGGAAGTGGGAGCTGTCGCCAAAGAAGTCACTCAGCGCCGGCGCCACGCAATTGGACACGATGACGGCCAGGATGCAGAGCAGGACGTTGGGCACCAGTCGCCGCAGGCTAACCAGCCAGCCGTTACGCGGCACCAGGCAGTCCATGTAGCAGGCGAAGCTCACCCAGGGACCCAGAGCGCAGGTGGCCGGGCTGTAGATGTAGCCCAGATAGGCCAGCGGACCGGGAATCCTCGCCTGCAGCTGTGAGCCGCCACCAGCACTGCTGGCTGTAAGGTCGAATCCCAGCGAGATTAGCTTCATGTTGACCACCATCTGGATGCCGCGCAACTGGGGCCAGTCGCTGCGGCGGCGCCAAAGGAGCAGCTCGTAGAGGAACTGGCTGCCCACGGTGAGGATGGCCAGGAGGCGGGCACCGCGGCGACCCAGTCGCAGCAGCTGGAGCAGCAGATAGCCCACGGCGGCCAGCAGGAGCAGCAGCAGCAGGCGGTGGCCCAGGGAGCAGTACAGCAGAACCAGGCCGCACGTGCAGTGGAGCAAGTGCAGCGGCGCCAGGCTGGTGAGGCGTCTGCGTTGCGAGTACAGCAGGCACAGGAGGCGGCACAGCAGGCAGAGGAGCAGCATGGGCGCCACGTACTGCAGCACCTGCAGCAGCGACGGTTCCACGCAGCTCTTCAACGTCTCGAGCAGGCCTAGCACTCCATAGCCGTCTAGCAACTCCTCCTCCTCGCCGCCCACATAGTAATCCTCCGCCTCCTCCTCCACGTCCAACTCCGCTGCTTTTCCGTATGTGTAGTCCAAGCCGACCGCCTCCTCGTCCAGATCCTCCTCCTCGTCCAGATCTATGTAGTCCGATTCCTCCTCAAAGTACTGGTAATCCATGGCCGGCCATTCAACGCCAATCCGATCAAGGGGAATCAAGGAAAAACCCGGCAATCCGGAGGAGCAACAAATCTATGCCATAAATATACCACAGAATATATACCGAAATATACCAGAAGTGCGACTCTCGCTTTTTGGTATTTCGAACAGGGCTGGCACTTTAGCTATTTGAAAGCCAAATCAGTAAATAAACACCTTATAGTTTGGGTAGTCCCTAGACTCTTTAATCCATCTAATTAAAAAGCAAAACAGCTCTGTAATCTATTACTATTTCAGCATATTATATAAATAACATCAAATTAGCAGGCATAATTTTCCTTTTTTTTAGGTCTGCCAATATGTTTGAGCCATAATTAACAAACAAAATTATGTATTCAAAATTTCTTTTTAATCCCAACAATTTCTTAATAAATTTTTAATATTCATTTTTTAATAATTTAAGCCATAATTAAAAACAAAAAAATGGACAATTTTGGGTCGATTGGAGAACGCAAAACATATCATTCAGGGGTTTTTAAGAATACCCTAAATTTTTCGAAAAGATCCGCCACTTTAGCTATTTTACAGCCAGAAATTAGGTCAACTGTATAATTGTGGCCATCTGTCAAGGCAAATTTAGTGCTGACAAAACGGTCACACTCTCCTGATAGTAAATAAACTATTTTCTGAAATTTGCCAAGTAAAACGTATAAAATTATAAAAATATGACGCGTCATGCCCGCAATTGTACGGCCGGAGCCGTTTACACGTACAACGAGAAGAAGCGCGATGCGGCAGAGTCCGGCTACGGGACAAATGCCCAGCGTTTGGGCAAGGATTCGGTGAAGTCCTTCGACTGCTGCTCGCTGACGCTGCAGCCCTGCCGTCGTCCGGTGGTCACCAAGGATGGCTTCCTGTTCGACAAGGAGGCCATCCTGCAGTACATTGTCACCAAGAAGAACGAGTACAGTCGCCGGCTGAAGGAGTACGAGCGTCTGCGTCGCGCGGAGGAGGAGCAATTGAGCCAGGAGGCCAGCAGCAAGCAGCAGGCGCGCATGGAGCGTTTCGTCAATGCGGAGAAGCCAGCGATGACTCCTGCCCACTCCTCTGCCGTCGGCGAGAGGCCCTCCACCTCAGCGGCAGCCACAAGCTCATCCTCCTCCGCCACCCCCTCCACCAGCTCCACCAGCTCCTCCTCCATATCCAACATGACGAACGGGCACGAAAAGAAGCTGCCCAGCTTTTGGCTGCCCTCCGAGTGTCCCAATGCTGGGGCGGCCAAGGCCCAGAAGCCGGATGCCACCATCTACTGTCCCGTGTCGCAGCAGCCGTTGAGGGTCAAGGATCTGATCGATGTGAAGTTCACGCTGCTCAAGGATGGCGACTTCAAGCGATCGCTGATCGCCAAAGAGGCGCGCTACATGTGTCCCATCACCCACGACGTGCTCAGCAATGCGGTGCCCTGCGCCGTGCTCCGGCCCACGTGAGTTCTCGAGGGGATTACGATTACTTTACTGCTTTAATAACTTTGTCTTTTAAAAAAAAAAGTGGCGATGTGGTGACCATGGAGTGCGTGGAGCGGCTGATCAGAAAGGACATGATTCATCCGCTCACCGATCGCAAGCTCAAGGACAAGGACATCATTCCCCTGCAACGAGTGGGTATCATTTGGATACACCTTCTTACCAGGACTAATCCAGCTCCTCTTTTCTAAATACAGGGCGGCACTGGTTACGCCACCACCAATGACAATCTGCAGGCCAAGGAAAAGCGACCCATGCTCCAGGTCTAAAGCGAATTTAGCTCATTCCTTACAAACACAAATACAACAACTCATCGACATAGACGCATTTTTAGCAATAAAGCAATAAATTCATTTGGATATTGGTCTTATTTTAACCAAGTCACAACGTAAAAGCTGTAAAAAAATGGCTTTTATTTGTCAAATATCTTAAATTATTTAAAAATCCGTTTTTTGTATACAAATGTTTGGAAATAATGCTCGACATTTAGAATGTCATAACTCGCTAAAATTTTTACAGTAATTTAATTATTAGTTTCCGGAAAGAATCATTATGTAACCCCTTGTAAAAAAATCGAAAAATTTGTCATAAAATTAATTTGTAGAAATCGAGCAGGGTTGTATAAATAGGTATACATATATATATCTCTCTTATGGCTATGCGTCGTACTTTGGACATAAAACCCTTTTAAAAAATCAATTTTTGAATACTTACTTTTTTGAATTCGTCATAAAATTTCCAACCGCATGGCATTCACAGCAAATGTTTTGAAAAAATTATGATGTAACCTTTTATTAAAATTGAGAAAAAATAAAAAAACCATAAACATGGTTAAGTTATTCCTTTGAAAGTAATGAGATATATAAACCCTTACTATATGATAGCCAAATGGGTATCTACAAGGACATAAACTATCAATTATTATTTTGTAACCTTAACATCTGATTCCAGCACTTTTTGGATTGTTTCTGCCAAAAAAGCAAGGCAAACATAAAATAAATTGTGCATTATGTTGATTATACTTATGTTTACCCAATAATAGCTGATTTTTGATAATGAATGCATGAATAAAATGTGGTGTTTATTTTCAGGTCTTGGAACTTGTATTTCAGATATGGCAAGCTTCGCTATTCGCTAATAGACCCGTGCAAATGAAAATACTGCCTGCTTGGGGTTAAGGTATAATATATATATTCTTTATGCATAGGTGTAACGTGTAATGTAAATTGAAGAAGTTGCGGCTGGCGGAATGCGGGCGGTAGGCCGTATACGTCGTCTAGATACGTCGCTCTTGATGGTGGCTGGTCGTCCAGTTCCACGTCCACTAGGCCGCCTGCACCGACTGCTTCTGCGAGGAGCTGATCTTGTCGCCCAGACTCAAGGCCATGCCCTGTTTGTAAGAGCAGAAAGTCTGTATTAAATGGGTATCCTTCAACAGTGAGTATATATGTGAATAGCTCACCTGACTTTTGGCGCGAATGCGTATGTGTCCCGTCACCTTGGAGTCGGGATCATCGACAGGCTTTTCAATGCTCAGATTTGCCAAGGCATTCTCTCCGAAAATCGATCTGCAAAAAAAAGCAAAATAGCAAAATACACGATTAGGTTTGATGCTTTTAGGAAGCTAAAGTTAAAGCTAATACCCACTTGGCGTACATGTTGGCGGCCATGAAGCCGCATTGGCCGGACAGAGCCTTCTCCGGCGTGAGGCACTTCATGTTGGTGCTCTTCAGCAGGTGCTTGAGATACTCGTGCAGGTCGGTGAAGCTGGTGTTCACCGTCACCTTGTTCTCCCACTCAAAGTCCTGCCACATCTGTCGGAACTCGGTGTCCGTGCAGCTGGCCGGAATGATGTAGTCCATGATGTCGATGTGAATGGTATTGAGCACCACCACGTTCGTATTGAGGGCGGTGTCGTAAACTGTTGGGTGGGAGATAATAATAAATATTTAGTGAAGGCATATCCCAAAAGCGATTGCCACTCACCAATATTGCCAAAGATGATGCCATTCTCCGTGGAGGAGACCTTCACATTGGCCTTGATGTTGCAGAAGTCGTGCGGGGCCAAGACCACCGGATGCGGACGCTCCACCAGCTTCAGATCGCCCAACGTGGCCAGTTCCAGGGTGCAGTTCTGCAGCGTGTCGTCTGCAAATAATTCCGAATTTTAGAACATTTTCTCTGACAAAACTATCATATTTAATTATCTGATATTTTGTACACACACTATGTTATATTTTAACTGTATTTTAAGACTCAGTATTGGGAAAAATATTTGTTTGAAGAGGAGCTACAGCTAATCTCCGGGATTGACCACTATATGATCACTATACCTTTGGACTAGATCCTCCGAATTTAATAAATCAAAAAGATGTCTTATCGTCTAATCTAGTAACTAATCCAAGGAATAAGCAAACTAAAGTTTTTTTTTGACAAAATAGCGGTTTCTCAATTATAAAAATGATTTTTGAGCACAAATTCGATCTTAAATTGCCTATAAAAAATATATGTATTTATCGGAAAACCAGAATCTTCTATAAATTAATAAAAAATATATTTAAGTTTGTACTTGAAAAGCCTTTTAAAATTTGGGCGTAACTTCATCGGAACGATATGAAATTTTGACTGTGTACATATGTATAGTACATTAACAAAATATAATAAAAACAAAAATATTATTTTTCAAATTTCAAACTGTATAGAAGCTCTTAAAGAATTTCAAAGACAACTCACTGGTCTGGTTGACGATCAGCACGTCCAGCACGATGTCGTACTGGTTGACATTGACGTAGGCCTCGGCGTAGACGGGATCCGAGAAGCCGGTCAGCTGGGTGACCTTGTTGAGCTTGCTGTTCGGCGAGGCCACGTCGCTCAGCTGGGCACTCTTGCTGCCGGCCAGTGCCTGATTGAGGCTGGACTCGAACACGTTCTCGCCCAGCTGGTTGTCGCGTCCATTGGAGAGCTGGGCGAAGAGGACCGGATCGTCGGGCTGCACCTTAGCCGTGGCCTTCTGCTTCTCCTTCAACATGCGCTGATCCTCGTCGTGCTGGGCATCCAGCATCTTGCCCAGTGCCTCGCGGCAGAAGAGCGTGAAGACGGCCACCGCCTCGGGTGTGCGTTCGCTCAGCGTGCGCAGGCAGACGAAGATGCGATCGGTGTCGTCGTTGGTTATGGGCTTGCTGGGGAAACCGGACTTGCCCAGGTGCAGGATGGAGCTCATGATGAGCATCACCTGGGTGGTCAGACGATTCTGGGCACGTGGCTCCGGCTGCAGTTCCGCATAGCGCAGAGCCAGCTTGGTCAACGTGGCGGACAGAGCGGCGCCGATAAAGAAGTCACCGTCCATCAAGTACTGTCGCAGCGGCGGTCGCTTCTCGGCCTTGGCCACCCTGGTGGAGGGATAAACAAAGATTAGTGGACCATTCAAAAGCTGTTAGAGAGGTGGACAAACTGTAAACTTCAAGTTCTAGGAATGACTCATCACATAGCAACAGTGTTGGCAAAGGTACTAGTATTCTGGATCTACGTAAGGTACAAGGTATTGGTGAAAATAAGTACTTAGGTAAGCTAAAAGGTACATAGTTTGTTAAGTATCTAGGTAAGCTAAAAGGTACAAAAAGGTTAAAGAAAAACATGTTTAAAACAATTTACTTTTTGAATTAAGTTATTTTGAGGTAAATTTGTTATTTACGAAGTTACAGAAACATGTAATAGGAAACATCTGCATTGGAATTAACTTTTTCATCACCATGCTGGCGACAAATATACAATATTCAAGCTAATTTAAAAACAAACATAATTAAAAACCATTCCAGTACCTAAATGCATAGCATAGTTAAGGTTAAAGGTAGCCTCACATTTGTTTACCTAGTTAAGCTATAAGGCATTAACAAATTGTACCTAGGTGCTTACATAGGTACAAATATATAGGTACACCCCAACACTGCATAACAATGAGTAACTAGAAGAACTGAACACATTCGATCACTTCTAAAGTGTGTTGCTTGCAACAGATGAGCTGGAAGTTTGTCCACGTAGCCATTTACTTACGGGGCCAGACTGTAGGCGCTCTGGGTGGCATAGGTTCCATCGGAGGTGACCTTGTTGCTGGCATTTCCCGCACCCGATCCCTCTGCGCCGGCGGATCCCTGCTGCTGCTGTTGCTGCTGCTGCTTCTGCTCCTCGCTCTGCGGATCGCCGGCGAGGCGACGCTGCTCCGCCTCCACCATGGGCACATCGCCCAGCGTTTGCTGGATGACGGTGATCACCTCGAGAATTTGCGGCCCCTCCACATACTCGCCCAGTATCCAGACGGCGGCGCGATGGATCTTCGAGGATTTGATCTGCGGGAACGCCTCGATCAGATGCTCGATGATGAGGGCACGCAGGGCGGGGAACTTCTGGATGGCCTCGCGTATGAAGACCAGCACATCGGCGGCGGCCAGTTCGTTGGTATCGGAGAGGAACTCCACCAGCACGGGTATGACATTGCCGGCCACGTCGGGGAACTTGATGGAGCAGGTGTGCAGCGTGCGGACGAGCAGTTGCCTGTACTTCCCAGTATCCTCGTGCTCCACATTGTGCGTTTTGGCCACCTCCTTCTTGAGCACCAGCACCATTTCGCCAATGTTGCGTGAGTAGACCAGGTCCAAGGCCAAGGCGAGTGTTTTCCGGCGCACTTCGATGTCGGGAGCGGCGAGGACGCGCAGCACGTCCATCACCAGGTCCTGCATTACCTTCTCCATGCCCTCGTGCTCCTTCATGGCCACCAGGCGATCGAGGACGATCAGTTTCACATTGTTGTCGCTCTCCTTGACCACCAGTTCGATGTAGCAACTGGCGGCCGCCTTGATGGCCGTCGGAGCCAGCGAAAGGGTGATCAACGTGCCGGCCGACTCGTATCGCACTGCATTCGAACTGGAGTTGAGCAGATTGTAAATACACCGGATGAAGCGGGAACGCTCGGCGGGATTGGCATGGCACACCTTGTAGATCAGCTCCACGATGACCAGTTGCAGGATGTCGCCGAAGGTGTGCACCTGATCGATGCAACTGGCCAGATAGTTGAGGGCCCGCTCCTGATCGGCGTGCAGCAGCATGAGGAAGGCGTTCCGCTTGCAGCTCATATCCTGCTGTGTGTCCAGGAAGCTGGCAACGAGCTCCGGCCCGTCCGGCACCAGCCAATCGAAGTTCTTGTAGATGGTGAAGATGGCCAGCACGGCATTGCGTCGCACATACGAGTGCCGATGATCTAGGCAGGCCCTAATGGCCGGCATCAGGGGCTCCAGCAGTTCCGGCTCCTTCAGTTTGCACAGGAAACGCAGTGTGGAGCCGCGCAGGAACTCGTTGGGATGCTGCAAATCCTTCCTGTACGCATCGCACACGAGGATCATCTCCTGCAGCAGTTTGCCATCCGCCGACGTCTTGGGCACAATCTCCCAGAAAATCAGGAGCAACTTCTTGATCGTGTGATTCTGCACGGGCAGGACGAACCGTATGATGGTCATTATCAAGCCGGGATAGCGTTCGCCATTCAGAAGCAACTTGATCACCCGCTTCAGCGTCTCGATCTTCACGTTTGTGTCGCCCTTCTCGAGATCCTGCTTCAGCTGCATCTCGTTGGGCACCTCCAGGTCCGGCGAATTGATAATCGTGTAGCACGGCACTTGCGACGTCATCGTGGCTGCCTTTTGTTGTCTGCCTTTGCCTGGTATACCCAATTTCCCGAATTTCCCAATTTACAATATCTTTTGGTCGCTCCGACGTGTCACTTGATTTCGGGTGTGACCGTTCTGGCCAGTGTTGTGTGTTGCCAACTCGTCGGCTCCTATTATAGCTAAACTAGCCAAACTAGCTAAGCTAGCCCACCGAAAAAAGCTAGAAAAAGACAGAAAATTGCTTCCTCCATATCTGTTGGCATTTCATAATTAATAACAGCAATTACCTTCCCGACGAAGTCCGTATCTGAAAAATTTTAAATCAAACTAATATTAATAACTAATTATAATACAAAAATGTGTTTAGTGTTTGAATTGCCATTTTATTTCTAAGTGTGATATTAACATTATTCATTTAGCTAAATACTCGTTCTACCTCTATAATTGAACTCGATTCAATTGATTTCATACCTGTAAAAAAGCTCGTAAAAGCGTTAAAATTACATAAAGATGCCAGAATTACGTAAATTTGTCTTTGAAAACAGCAATAATTCCCGCTACACACTATTTCACAGTTTATACCACATTTGCCAAATGACACACGGCAGATCTAGTGGAAAAATAGCTAAATTGGCAACACTGGTGAAACAATGCAAGTTGCCTTAGCCGAGACACCCACCAAAAACACTCACTTTCGGTTACAGAGTGCTGAAAGACAACAGAGTGCTGTTAGGCGCATTTTATGGCGGCAGTTTTCAAACTTAACATTTCAACGTATTCAGCATTATTCTTAAAAATAAAACGGAGCTTAATGCAACGTACGTGTGGTCTTTATAAATTAACATTTTTAGCTGATATGATGTCATCCATTTGAATATGAGAATATGAGCATGCTTCTGCCATTCCACCGAGTACATGTAACAACGTGTGTCACCAAAAACTCGATACTTACTTACTTAGTAAGCAAATCCATAATTTTGAGTTTTTGCTGACATACTCTGGCGATTATGTCATGGCAATCTTGCGGTTTTTAGCCCGGTTGCAACTCACGTTCAAGTTCCGTCCACTTCGGATTGCATGTGAACTTAATAAATACATCCGGAGTTCCAGAATTTCGCACGTATGCCATAGCGCCTTGAGCGTATATGTGCATGTGACGTCGGCTTCCGATATAAGATGATGGGAGAATCGTCAGACGTCCGATATTCGTTGGAACTTTAACGCATCGCAATATCAGCATATAGGCGTCATTGGTCCAATGCCAATGATGTTCGTGTTGTCCCAATCGGGCATTCTTACTTATTATATTTTATCCTTCTTCGCTTTAGTTCGTCCTCTAGGCATTTTGGACTATGGACTCAAAAGCACGATCCAAATAATTTCCACAGTTCAACTTACCACCTTAAAGACAAATGCCGGCTGTTACACGTGATTGATTTGATGGTTTCCAATTGAAATGAAAGGGAACTTATTGTTTTTTTTTAAATTTTTTTTTCACAATTTCACAGTGAAATTAACTGAGCGGAGAAAAATGAGTAGCTGTCAAACAATGTATCACGCACAGGCGCCATCTACTTAAAATATTGGCTTGTAGTACATGCTTTGTATCAGAGATGGCGCTGTATGTAAAAAAAGATTTTCCCGCTTTTCTGTTGAAATTTTTCCTGAATTTTCTTTGCTATAAACCTCATGGAGCCCGAGACCATTTCATCAAATGCAAAACCGTGGAAATCAGGAAGGAAAATCCGACTTATTTTTATATAATCGAGTGTTGAAACCAGTTGAAAAGTTTTGAAAAGCAATGAAAGAAAATAACAAAATAAAGTATTGAAAATTCACAACTGCTTATTGTTTATATTTATAAATTTGCTGATAGACAACAGAGTGCTGTTGAACGCAATTTATGGCGGTAGTTTTCAAAATGTACATTTATCATTGCTTGAAAATGTTATACACTTATTGAGTATTAATTAGCAGAATATTAGATAGGTTTTAGTGCAAGATATGAGTGTTTTCAGCTAATTAAAATTGGAGATTAATTAATAAATTTGTTTGCCTTATATATTTGAAAAAAAATTAGTTAATACTAAGATTAACTACGATTTTCTTCTTTTTTTTTTAATAAAAAGAATTGATCTTAAAACATTTTGTTGTGTTATTATTAGGAAACATGGTTTATTTGTCAAAAAAGAAATTAGAGTACAATAAGTCTGTTGTCGGATCATTAATACAATTTTTAAATTTGCGGCTGGTAACAAAACTATTCTCCTGTAGTTTATTTCCCTGACAACAAACGACGTGACTTTTTGTTGGGTGTGGCTCCTCAGTATTATTAATTTTACCTGCCTGCGCTTGCAGATAGCCTCCGGGCCAGAGGACTGCTGATAAGGCTCCACCTCGGGCGAAGTGGAAAAAATCCCAATCCGATCCGGGGTGATTCCCGTCCATTGCGAGGGGCTTTCGACCTTGTCCACTGCCAACTATATGCGGCATTGCACCCGGCATAAATAACAATCTAACTCTGTACTGTTCTGCCCTGCTCGATTCGACTAGAAAGATCCCCCAGACACACCCACACACCCAATCAAGCAAACAACCAAACAACCAAACAACCGACGACAGTTGCCTTTGTGATCTCGTTTTGCACTTCATCACTCAATTGCCGCCCATTTGGCTGCCCAACCACGCCCCCAAATACGGCACGGCTTGCATTTTAAGCAGCTCGCTAAATTACACTAGGCATTTATTGTCGTATTCTCGTTGTGGGGATCATTTTGAAGAGTCTCCCTTCACTGCACTTGGTACTTGGTCGCTGGTCGTTGGTCAATGTGGGTGACTAACTATATAGCTACAGTGCTATATGCTGATCCCATCAAATCCCGCCAGTGGAACAGGTTCTGTGCCCGGCTCCAATAAACAAATCCCCTGATAGCGAAGCGCAAAGAAAATAAATATAACTAGAGACGATGGCGACTCAAGACTGAGGTATACCCTTACTTATATAAGATATACTTATATTAGAAATAATACCTTGCTTACACACATTCTACATATTTCAACCTGTTGGCATATTAATGCCTAGTTAGTGGCATGAGTTTTGTAATGTCTAAAAAGATCATATACAATGTAAGCCATATATAACTTTGATTTGAATTTAACTAGCAAAATATATTATTATAATATATTTCATAATTTAATTACACCACAAGTAATTAAGTGAGTATATTGTAAAATAAAGTTGTTTAAGAACGCAAGATAAAACCAACTAATTATGATTTAATCGAAACAAAAAAGGTACAATTATTACAGCTCTCAGTGGTTTATCAAATGAAATACTCAAATATTTCACTCGACATCTTCGATCAACCTTATAAAGTCCCCTCGCAGAGTATAACTCGAAAGGCAATTACTCTTAATTTGTTTACTTCCAAGAAAAGTGAATTTAAATCAACCAAATCATTAGATGAATGCAAATCAAAACAGAACAGAAATCTGTAAAAGTAAAAAATGGAATTGCAAAAAAATGGGAAGCCAACACAATGGAAACTCAGTTTGGCAGTCTAAAATAGGTATGTCTACCTCTAAATAAGGGTTGAAATCGGATGTTTAGTGGTCATAGAAAAAAAAAGGGAACAATCCCAATTTTTTTTTATTGTATTGTCGAGGTCACCGCTTAACAGTATGCAGATTAATCAGGCAAATAAATTCTTGGAAATCGAAAGCCAGAGTGCAACAGAAAGATTAGTTGTCATTTATATAATTGAGTTCATATATAGAGTGTACTATATGGCCACGATCGATTAGGGGATCAAGTGTTCAGATAATTAATTAAAGAGGGAGGCTCTTTTGGCTGTTAACAAATTTCAAAAGGTACTGTGTGTGTCAGCAATTAAGCTTTTGACGATCGTCAAGTATAGTATTATGTTACATAAATTATCAATTTAGTTTTGCTTTTTTGTTTCAACAATCATAAACCGTTTTTGTTTAAAGGTATTATTAGTACGAATGCTCAAATAAATTAAGTAAATAGAAAGCGGTGATTGATTGGTAATTGAAAATAACCAAAAACTAAGTACCGAATAGAAGAATGCTTGGGGCTGAAATTCTGATTTTGATCGATCATTTGAAATGCTGTGCAAAACTTAGATTGCTCAGTCGAACTTAAGGTAGATCATGGACGGGAAAAATGCATTAAATGATTTGCAAATATATTATTGATTTAATGGCCCCGGCCATATATCAGAGTCGCAAACTCGTTTGCGGGAGGATAGGCCTGGATCGCCGCCCACTCACACGCCTTCCTCGGGGGAAAAAAAACCGGTCCCTCTGGGGACTATCTCTCCTTGTTTATTATTATTATTATTATTATTTCTACTTGTTGCCGGGGCAAACAGAAGCGAAAAAGAGAGCAAACAAATGCAAAAATAGAAAAGAAAAAAAAGCGCACGAGAGCCGGTGAATCGCCGGCTATAAAAGCCCCCAGCCGGCTACGGATTCTCCACAGTCGAGCTTCAACTGTTCCAAGATGATGCCGCATAGAGAGAATCGCACTTGGTTGCCTTTGGCGGTGGCCACCGCCCTCCTGGTGATCCTCGGGTCGCAGAACTCCCGGGCAGAGGAGCCGATCTGTAGGTGACCACCGGTTGCCCAGTTGAATCTAGTTAATCCATTCCAATTCCGAACACCACACAGATCGCTTGTGTGTGCCGCAGATTTACCTGGCCGAGTGCCAACAGCTACTGGCCGATCCCTCGGAGGCGGGCATCCGCATGGAGTGCGTGGCTGGACGGGATCGGGTGGACTGCCTGGAGCTGATCGAGCAGCGCAAGGCCGATGTGCTGGCCACGGAGCCGGAGGACATGTACATTGCCTACCATCGCAAGAACGAGGACTACCGGGTGGTGTCTGAAATCCGCACGCAGCAGGACAAAGATGGTGAGTTCTCAAGCTAAGTGGAAAAATGGAGTCTCTAAACAAATAACTAAAAAAAAGTTATATAGAATTAATTGAGAAAAAGCAGGCATTTAATAAGTTTTATTATTTATATATATAAACAAGATGGTGATTGATACGGAAACAATTTAAAAATTATTTAAAACATTAAAAGTGTTAAACAAAAACAAATTACCTTTGGCGAAAAATAAAATAGGATCGAAGGACCAAAAATAAAGAACTGAAAGTAGGGCTCTAGAATAGTAATAATAGATATTTGACCATAGAATTCAAAATTGTATATTTAATATTTAAATTAAGTATTTAAAATATTTAATAAAAATATAAGCTTTAAAATAATTCTTAGTTGTTTTCACATTTTAAGCTTTTCATATTTAAAATTAAATAAAAAAAATATTTAAGTTGAGTACAATATATTTGGATTTACTTTGAGCAATGCATAAGATAATTATTAAAGTATATTTTGTATTTAATATCTACATATAACATCCGCTTATCCCCACAGCTGCCTTCCGCTACGAGGGCATCATCCTGGTGAAGAAGGACTCGCCCATCCACACGCTGCAGGAGTTGCGCGGTGCCAAGTCCTGCCACACTGGATTCGGTCGCAATGTGGGCTACAAAATACCCATCACCAAGCTGAAGAACACGCACGTGCTGAAGGTGTCCGCCGATCCGCAGATCTCGGCCACGGAGCGCGAACTGAAGTCGCTGTCCGAGTTCTTCACACAGTCGTGTTTGGTGGGCACCTACTCCACACATCCCGACACGGACCGCCTGCTGAAGAAGAAGTACTCGAATCTGTGCGCCCTGTGCGAGAAGCCGGAGCAGTGCAACTATCCGGACAAGTTCAGTGGCTACGACGGCGCCATCCGCTGCCTGGACAAGGGCCAGGGCGAGGTGGCCTTCTCCAAGGTGCAGTACATCAAGAAGTACTTTGGTCTGCCCGGCGCCGGTCCCGATGCCCCGCCCGCGGAGGGCGATCCGTCCAAGTTTGAGTACCTGTGCGAGGACGGCAGCCGACGACCCATCACCGGACCCGCTTGCTCCTGGGCCCAGCGTCCGTGGAGCGGCTACATCTCCAACGAGAAGGCCGTCCACAATGCGGACCAGCTGCATCAGCTGCAGTCGCGGCTGGAGCGTTTCTTTGCCAATGGACTGCAGGCGCAGAACAAGGACGCCGCCGCCCATCTGCTCATCCAGCCGAATGCCGTGTACCACAGCAAGGAGGCGGCCATCGATCCCAAGGTCTATCTGGAGCGGGCCGGCTACAAGGATGTGATCGAGCGCGACGGCAGTGCCATCCGGAAGATCCGGCTGTGCGCCCAGGGCGATGATCAGTTCGCCAAGTGCCAGGCCCTCCACCAGGCGGCCTATGCCCGCGACGCCCGTCCCGAGCTGGAGTGCGTCCAGTCCACCGACTGTGTGGTGGCGCTGGCCAAGAAGGAGGCCGACCTGGTCGTCCTGCCCGCCTCCGGATACGCCGATGCCCGCAAGAATCAGCTGCATCCACTGGTCTACGAGCAGCGCGCCGAGGACGATGTCCTGGTGGCCGTGGCCGCACCCACCGTCACCAGGGAGGCCCTCCAGAAGGCCAGCATGTGAGTAGATCAATACGTCCCTGCACTGCAAAAAAAAAAAAACTGAGAAAATTTAATTCAAATATTTATCCACTGGCATTGGTAACAAAAAACGTGGTTTGAATAATTTAAGCTTTCATCCATTGCTTTTTTAAAGGGTTTTAAATATTGCAATTTTCAAAAAAAAATTTTATTTGACTATTGGAATTAATTTTTGACATCTGAAAATTTAATTCAATTTAAACCATATTTAACTAAAAACAATATGAAATGCTTTTAAATCAATATAAGTCTTTAAGGCCTAATATTTTTTCCATTAATTAAATATTTTAATATTTCATATTAATATTTCATTACATTTAATTTAAATATTAACTATACAATTTGGAAATTTAGCCAGATATTTATTTGTACTACTCTTTTTTTTATCAGTGCGACTTTTAGTCATTTTAAATATTATTTATTTTGTATTGCATAGTCATATCATTAGTTATGTAAACTGCTCATTATTGAGTGTAGATCTTATGTTTTTAATTTAATTGATCAAAGAGTTTGATCGATTCAGTTCTAAGCCCTCAATTCGAAACTTTAAGTGATAAATGCCCTATTAATGTTTTATTTTTAGTCCATAAGCTTTCATTATTGATGGGTTAAGTAAATTGCTCTTAATGATTGTAGACCTTAAGTTTCGTCTTTAATTAAGCAAAGAGTTTGATCGATTAAGTTCTAAGCCCTTGAAGTTTATGCTGAGTCATGTCTTGGCAATGCTCTGATGATCAATCAATCCTTAACTTGTTTCAATTGTTTTTTAATAATAGATCAATACCTTGTGTACTGAACCCCCATTCGATACTTACTCTAATTAATTATTTATGCATTTAAACCCATAGCAAGTTCAATGAGGATTGCGGACGCTCTCGTCTGGCCGCCGCCTTCCTGAACAAGCGACGTGGTCTGGACGCCTGCCGTGTGTCATCCAGTGCCGATGGAGAGGTGCAGATCGTGCCCGCCTCCGAGCTGGAGCAGCACAAGGATGCACAGCTGGTGTGCCCCAGCCTGGAGCGACGACCGGTCACCGATTTCCGTGCCTGCAACGTGGACGTGGGCCTGCCCCGGGCCATCTTCATCAGGTCAGATGCCACCAGTGTGGAGCAGGAGACCGTCAAGCATCTGTTCTCCTTGATCTCGGACAAGTTCGGTGCCCATGGCAAGTTGGTCGATGTCTTCGCCCTGTTCGGCGAGTTCCAGAAGGGCAAGAAGAACGTTTACTTCCACGTGAGTGTGCTTCCATTTCTATCTCAAGTTTAACATAAATATATATATTTATAAATAAAATATATATTCCCCTTCAGGACAACGCCATTAAGCTGGTTACGGAGATCAAGAGCGAAATCCAAAACGAGCAGATCTACGCTGATCTCCAGTGTGATGCTAACAAGATCACCAAGCAGTGAGCACGGAGCACGGATTTTACTACCTATGTATATCTCCGTTCCCTTCGCAATCTGCTTCAATAAATTTTAATCCGATTATTACTAAAAAGTATTGATTTTTTTTATTATGAGAAATCTGCCTTTAGTCATTGAAGATATATACTATTCAGAAAACTTAATATTATTTAGTTGGGGTCAACAAAACCTATTTGCGTCATATTAAAAGTATTGATTTTTAAATGAAGATAAATCTGGCTTAAATTATTAAAGTTACCTATGTATATTATTGAATGGGGTCGCCAATTTACAGATTATTATATTTTGGCTAAATAATAATTTACCAGCTTAAAATTTGTAATAGCTTTCAAAACTTTTATTTCATTCGCAAAATTAATTGACCAAAAATGGTCCCACAAATTAAACATACAAAATTTAAATGCAGGTTAAATACGAAATTGAACCCAAACTTCTGGCGGTGTGACTCTAATACCTTTTCAAACTCAGTTAATTGAGTTCCTTCATTCGGCAACAAAACCTGGTCGTAAAATTAATTTGCCAAATATTGACAATCAAATGAAAATCAAAATTTAAGTGCAGGTTACTTACAAATTAAAGCACAAGCTTCCAGTATCAATAGTTTAAGCTATAAGTTTAGTTAGTGGATTGCGACCACCAATCACTATCTTTAGCTTATAATCAGTCATTGCTTTTTGCAACCCCCATCAATTACTCACACCAGTTTGTTTTCTTTCAATTACAGCAATTTATAGTTTTAATTAAAAAAAAAAATACACATTATATGTATGGAACCAGCTAATGTATAATGTATAATGTATATATCATATATGGTATATATATAATTTCACATATCTGTGTTTTGGGTAAAATCGCCAGGGAAAATCGTACGTTTCACAATTGCTTCGACCACGGATGGGTTTCTGTGTTTCTTTTTGGGACATCTGGGAAGTTTGAGAAGAAAATTCGTTGATGCAAACATTCCTGCTGGGGTTTTGGGTCGCGGTTCCTAATCTTCCGACACATCGCGCAGCGGCTGCTCCGTCGAAGATTCGGCACCACTGGGCGTCTCCTCCTCCTCGGAGTAGTCCTCGTCATGGGTGTGGGTCACCACGGTGGGCGTGGAGGGACGAGTGTGCACAATGGAGCTCTGCAACGAAAGGGGGTTATATTACTCAAGGTTAAAGGTTATCTCAAACAGGAGTTTATCATATATACCCTGGCAGCTTTAACACAAGTAAAATATTCCAGAAATCGATTGTATAGTTTGATTTTATATCAATAAAGCTAAGTAGCTTTTTCACAGAATTTTTCTTTGGTTCCCATAGATTCAAAAAAGGTTATATACAAAAAGCAAAGTTTATATACCCTTGCAGAATATTCTAGAAAAGGATACTTTACTTCTATTTTTAACAAACAGGCTTTGCACTACATTTTTATATGTTTTCTATGACAGCTATATGCTGTCTTTGTCTTATTTTTATAAATTTTAGAATGGTAAACCATCACTATATTTTGCAGCATGTACATTAAAAAGCAACGTTGTTTAATTTTTGTTTCATTTTTTGTTTTGTTTAATTGTTACTATGGAAGCTACATATATGATATGGTCCTCCGATCCGGCCCGCTCTGACTTATATACCTCCTGCATATAAAAAATGATTTTTGGGAAAGTTTTATCCAGAAAGCTTTAAAACTAAGATGCAAATGGACAAACGGACATCGGACGGTGATGCTAGTCAGGAGTACGTATACTTCCTCCAGAAATTGTACCCTCTGCTAGAGCATTAATATATGTTTCGAGATCATCACTTACGGCGCGATGCAAATCCTTGGTGTCCTTGGCCTGCTCGGTGCCGGCCACAATGCGCGCCGGCTCGTCCGGGGAAGATGCTGCCGCCGAGGTGGATCCAGTGACCGCCGAAGGAGCAGGACCAGGTGCCAGCGGAGGCGGAGGCTGGTGGGCCTGGTCGTGGGCCACCGTCGACTCGTGGGGCAGGAGCATGGCCGGAGCGCGGAACATGTACGAGAAGGGGTAGTAGATGAGGTTGAGCAGGGTGGCCGCGTAGACATCGGCATACCGCACCACCTGGCTGGAGAAGAAGGTCTGGCGCGATCCGGAGCGGAAGAGCGAGCCCATCATGCCGTAGGACATGTCCATCTTGTGCGTCACATCGCGGATGCAGGTGCGCAGCTGCGAAATGTCCGGCTTGACCTTGGCACTCGAATCGAGATCCCTGTAGAGATCGCCCAGCTTGATGTCCAGATTCTGGAGCTCCGCAAAAAGCTGACACTCATCCGTCCACACATGCAACTCCCGCACCAATTCGGGCACAATCAAGAATGTGCGCCACCCGCGTATCTTCTTCGATTTGAGAATGTCGCCAAAGATGTGATCGCCCACGTACAGCACATCCTTGCCCTTGGCATTGATGAACTTGGTGAAGAGCTCACAGGAGCCGCCCGAATACACCTGGCCCGGCTGCAACGGTCCAATGTGGGTGCCGATCTTCAGGCCGCCCGTCTTGGTGTCCACCTGTCGCAGAACGGTGCCCTCGTCGAAGAAGAGCGGCTTGCGGGCATCCACCACGATCACATCGAAGTAGGACTTCCAGTCGCGGTGCGGCTCCTCCGGCGTGGCGCCATGTGGGAAGTCGAACAGGTAGGTCATGATCTCGTTGGTGTACGTGTAGTCGCTGTTCGTCAGCATGAACAATTTGGCGCCCGATTCGCGAATGCGCGACAAAACCGTGGGCAAACGCTCATCCTTCTTCACATAGTGTGCCATGTTCTATCGATTAGATCACATTATTAGATTGTTATAGCCATCATACTATCTGACAGATCTGGGAACACTCACCTGCGTGGTGCGACGCTTCAGATCGCCATCGGAATGCACCCAGTCGACGGCGCGACGCACGTCCTGGAAAATCGACTTGTAGGTGAAAAGGAAATCGCCAGCTTTGATGCCGCGCTCAACGCTGTCGGGGGAAAGAGAAAGAAGAGTGGAGAAAGTAGAGAAAGGGGAACAGAAAAGCGGGATAAGTGGACCATAGGTAGCAGATAAAGGGGGGCACTACTCAGTCTAGCACCTTAATAAAAATAGAATAGTATAGCATTTGATAAGCTACCACTACTTGAAGAGTACAGAAATGGGCTATTATCTTAAATTATGTTAACCAATATGTGTTGTTGGATTATAAAATATTGATTATACATTTTGTAAATCATCAAATACTAAGAATTTGAGTACATTTTTATTAATTAAGTGTTAACAAAAAACAACAAAGTCTAATTGCCCTTCATGCCCTACAGTTCGAAATGCATACTACTTAAAATTTTTAAATATATAACAAAAAACACATCTAAACATCTATCGAACTTAGAAGTTCGTTAAGAAAAATAATGGCGGAAATAGTTGGTCTATTAATCTAAACCAGTAAGAAACGTGTTCTAAGTACTTTAGAAATGGATTAAACTCAATCTTACCGCACAAATTCGCTGCTGTTGGTAAAGAAGTCGGTGAGACAGGCCAGAAGATAGGTTTCCGGCAGATTGAAGAGCGTGTTCAGGACATACACACGCGACTCGTCCAGTTTCAAGAACTTGTTGGGATACAGTTCGTACACCTGGTGACTAAAGCAAAGGAGTTTAATAAAGATGTTCGAATTGTGACTCTAAATCTCTATAACTCCACTTACTGCTTGATAAACTCAAAGCCATGAACGCACACCAGAATGTTGCCGTAGGCATCCACTTTCAGCAGATTGCCGTAGAGCGTGTCGAACCACAGGCCGCGAACCGGAAAAGTGGGATCGTATTCGAACTGCAGGATCTCCTTGGGGTAACCCATGGAAACCAGTCGCTCCTTGACCAGATTAAAGCCCAGTTGCTCGTACTGCGGTGACTTGTACTCTGGTTCAAAAGGGTATTTATTAATATTTAGTTGTTTTCAATTAAATATTATTAATTAGTTACCTGCCAGGGTGTAGTCCATGTCAAAGCCATAGTACTTGATGTTCTCCAAATGCAACGATCTGTTCACAAACACTCTGCAAAATAGAAAGGGTATTGTTAAGGTGGTGACTTTATTGTACAAATGTAATTGTTCAAATAATATTGCATACACTTGGGCTTTAAAACGAAAATTCGTTACTACACTAGGGCTTAAACATTTTTATTTTATATATTGGTCTCTTTGAATAATACATTTTACTGGTTGACAGATTTTTTTTCCGATTGGTTTTATGTTACCCCAATTTAATTATTTGTATATAAAAACATTAAAAACATACTTTCAAAAAATACTCTAATGGATAATTATTTGCCTACTTCAAAGAATATATTTTAATTATTATAATTTATAATTTTATTTATATTTTCAGCTTAAATTTATATTTAATCCATTAGATTCTTCTAGAATGTTGTTTTGACGTCGATCGATTCGGCTGATCGTTCGATCTGAAAAGCAAGTCAATGGGTTATCAATCTAGCATGAAACAGGCAAATGAAAGGGCGTGAAAACTCGCCTCGAGTGGGAAATTGCGGCATGGAAATGGCGTGAAAAGCGTGTGACATTCAATTTTTAAACTTTGTCGTTGCGCTTTGATGGTGGAAACTTAAACCCCCTCCCCTCCCCCACCCTCCGGATATTTCCATTTTTTACCAAGCCGGAGGCTGTACTCGGACTCAAATCGCCGCGACTTTGACTGCAACGACAACTGCGGTCAGCAATTAGTGTAGAAAAGTTGTTGTGGGCGGCCCAGGCGCCACCACGCCCCTTTCGCCTTTCGCTAAACTTTGTATGTTTGTGTGTGTGTGTGTGTGTGTGTGTGAGCCACGCCTCTTTGTGGGAAAACTCATTAGCGGGATGAGCGTGGACAAAATGTTTTGGATATACCCTCATTTTTGGGTCTTTTCTGGTTAGGGTTAGTTGATGATTTCGATTTATCATGGTTACATATTTTATGCGGTTAAAACTTTATACACTTGTTTACATATTTTAAACAATTTTAAACCTTTTGCGGAATCAAAAATTCGATTAATCATGGCAAGGGGATTATGCCACAACACCTCCCCCAAAAACAAAAAGAGCATTTCGGTTTCGGTTTTTGTTGCCTAATACCCTATACTTGTCTTTTTTTTTTTTGATTTTGGGGACAGTTTTTTATGTATGCTCTGGGTGTGCATGCTGTGCGTTTATTTATTCTGCTTGTCCCTTTTGGCAATTCTGGTCCACTTGAACATTTGCCAAATAAGCGAAAAAGTTGCATCCTCTTTGGGGCACCAGTTTTCCTCAGCCATCTTTGGACCAAATCCTTTCCTCCTTTTTTAGCCAAACGTTGTTGGTTGATCTTATTCGTGGTGTTGTTGCTTTGACCCTTTTGTTGCTTTTGCTTTTGCTTTCGCCAACCCAAGTTCGAATAGAATGCATAAATCTGAGACAAAACACACGCCACAAAAGGGAACACACACTTTCGCAGCAATAATTAATTTTTCCATTTCCAAGCTGAAGACAGCTTTGCCAATTTTCCAGTCAAGCATGTTGCTGACTTTTAATCGATTTGGGGTTAAGAGGATGGCAAAAATATATTTGATGCTAAAATCTGTGTGTTGTATAAATTTAATAATTGACGCTTTTAAATTAAACATTTAACCATTATTGTAGAACAAATTGACATCAGTATCATTGATATAATGACGACAAACATCGCTATTTCGAGGTCAAAAGCTATAGATCGTCAATTGCTAGGCAAATGATGTACTGTACCACATAATTCCGCCAAAAATCGCAGAGGTGACAAAATAATTATTCAAATTTAATAATTATCTGATATATAGCTATTTAGATTTAACATTTAAATTTATTTAATATATAAGCCATTATTGTGAACATGTTCTTCAAGTAACCCATGCTAAATTATCATTAGCATTACTAATAAATTGGCGATCAAAATTTCAATTATTATATGTACGTACGCAAACTTCTTGACAAACATTGCTATTTCGAGGTCAAAAGCTACAGATTTTCAATTAATGCACCACATATTTCCGCCAAAAATCGCCGAAATGACTAAACGGATTAATTTGGGATGGTCGTGGCTAGAAATAGCCTAATAAATGCATAAATAAATTGTCACTAATCCGCCGTTTGTATGGGTTAATTGTCACTGCCGGCGTATTGCGCGGCGTCAATTAATGCGACTGATTTCACGGATCTAAAAATAAGAACCCATTTGCCTGGGAAATGGTTAGATTGGGTGCCCAGATTATTGATTGCGATGACATTGGCCCATGTTTGCCTTTCGATATACACGGCGGATGAGCAATGTTTGTGCGAGACACAAGTTTTGCCATATTTTCCTAGTGTGATGTGTGTTTACCTTTCATTTGCATTGATAACAAGCCGCGAAATACTGTTTTGCGAATTCAGAGCTCTCAATTCCATTGGCTGAATGCTCAAGTGCGTCAACGAACTGATTGGCAGTGTTTTGTTTACACCGCCAAGCGATGCGATGCGATGTGCTGCGATGCGATCAACATTTTCCAGCGCCAAAAGGTCATCGGTACACATTAGCACCATTCATCACCATATACATATTATATATACCACGCAGTGCACATTAAATACGTATTTTTCTGTTTTTAGTTGATTATATTTATTCATAATCGGTCCATTGACACTGCCTGAATCAGAGCATCCAATTTGAACTTTCTCTAAAGGGACTTATGCTACCAAACTGTTCAGAAATGTTTCTAATATGAGATTTTTTCCTTTTTTTCTTAAAAATAAAATGAATATTATATAGACTAATAGGTTTGTTTTTTTTTGTTTAAGTATGGTTTATTTAAATAGACCTAAAAGTAAACAAAACCTTGAAGGGGGGTAAGGCTTATCTGGGGCAATTCTTATCAATACAGCCAAAGAGACTATAGGTCTAAAATCAACGCTTTAAAAACAATAATAATACTTTGTTGCAAAACAAACCAATTTGTTTCATTCATAAATACCCTTGTTTTTATTGCTTTATTGTGTTTTGAAAAAATACAAAAAATCAACCCAGTCGTTTAAATGTCTGGTATAAATTTACTATTTACTAAAGTAGTATATATAATACATATTTTTTCTTTGCCATAGTAGTTTTCCATAGTTTTTACATAGTTTAGTAAGTAGTAAGTATTGTCTTGAATAAATACACTATTTTTGTTTATTTTTTAAACCGACGAGCTCTAATATTTAGAAAGTTTAATTTTACTGCTTTGGACAGTTTTTCACGAACACAAAGACGAGAAAAATGGTGAAAAAGTTATTGGAAAAAAGATGTAACTGCAATTTAAGGCTTTGTTAATGTTAAATACGCATTTTGTCAAAGGTTAAGAATTGATGTAGCAATAAGAACTGTGGTATCACTATGAATTTGGTTCGGTGCTAGTGAGACTTACGCGTGGTGCGGCTGCTGCAGAAGCCACCACAAGGATGTGGCTGCTCCTCCGGCTCCGGGTGGGATCTTAGTGCCCGTGACAGCTGTCCTGGACATGCCACACTTATTGCCACTGCCACTGCCACTGCCACTCACAGCCGGGGAATCCCCAGTTCTGGAGCAGACCAATGTGACATTCAAACTTCTTGCACAGTTGCCATTAAGCCAATTGTTGTTGTTGTGATTGTTGTGATTGTTGTCACTCAAGTTGTTATTATTATGCATTGTTAACTTGTTTACTTTTCCCGTACAATGTGCAATGAAAATGGTTGGTGGTCAGTGGAAATTGCTTTGCTCAAGTGCGAATTTCCTTTTTGCTTCGCCCTCCCTCTCTCTCTTTCTCTCTCTGTCACGCTCTCTGTCTCCTCTTGGCTGTCGAAAATGGGAATTTATGGCCAAATGCGAATGCTTATCCTTGTGTCAGTATGAGTATATATGCAGTATAGTTTTCGCCCCTCAAACGGATTGGCCCTGCCAGTAAGTCTGCTGCTAGGACTCAAGGATTCTGGGATTGTCAAGTGGAGTTGCCCATGTCCTTGCTGAAGGTTTATTGTGCTGCTGTTGATTAGATTCTGCAGCATCCCAGGGAGCAGAGCACATAATGGCCATAACTCACCGCCCCAGCCCCAAATTGCATTCGCTTGTTAAATCAAAATTCATATCATGCCAATGCTAGTTTATCAATTTGCTTCTCACTTCATCCCCCTTGAATGTCCATCCGTACCATCCGCCTTTTATACTTTGGACACGTGGATGCCGCTGGCCAACGTTGCGTATGCGTCATGCTACGTTATTCCCACAGTTGCATTTCTATTTCAGTACACCATCAGAAAACACCCGCACACCATAGCCATCGCCATCGTCATCGTCATCATCACCATCATCATCATCATTATCGTTCTTCTAACTGGCAACTGGCAACTGGCAACTTGCAATTGCAATTGAGACATTTCAGCTCCAGCTGCTGACGTCGTTCAGTTGCCACGTGCCACCGCTCTTTGGACAAAAACCTGAGCAATGCGATTCCAGTGGGGATAATAACTAACCAGTGTACAGGTGGTACACAAAAGACAACAATTGGCGGCCAATCAGCACAGTAGCACCCCCATCCATCGCAGAGCTAAAAACCGGGCAAAGAGGCCATCAATAATGATAAACTTACTATCAACAATCGCGCGGAAGCACTGATTAGACACTCAACAACTTCTGACAATTAAAATTGAAGTAGCTTTTATCAAGCAAATACTTTGAAAGTATTTCAAAATGTTAACTACTTGTTTGAATATAAATTGGGCTACTAATTGCACTTAATAAATGTCAAGTAATTTGGCTTAGCTTATAAGTTATTGTAATATGAGGTTTGATTTGTATGTAAAGCTCAGCAAATGCAGATGAACTCTACGGAATTTTGTATGGCAATCCCCTCTTAAATTCAGTTTTATTTAAAAACTTGGAAAGTGTTTTAAATAAACTACTTATAGCTGTACATAAATCTATTCTATTCTATTCTATTCAAAGGGAGATTAATTTAAAAAATTAACTATCTTTAACTTGTTGTGTTTAAAGCAATC